TCTAATATTGTCAGTATTGTAAATAATGCTATTTCTTCATATTTTCTGCATTATGAATTGTTTCCCGGAGAAAATTTTCTGATGTGCATTTGTGAAATGAAGTAACTGACATTTCTGAAACTCCTGACACATACTCCCACTGCTTTCCACATGATTTTATCAAATTGTACCATCATTTGACCATGGTGCCCACTTTTAATGCATACACCTCAGCATTACTAGCATAATTTAAAAACTCATTTAAAAAATGAATTATATGATGGATGAGAAACGTTTGTTACGATTTGCACTGATTCTAAGAAAGCCCCACTTCTCTTGTGATCTGAGCAAAAAATAACTGACACCAATCAAGTCCTTACCACGTGCCAGGTAGTATAGTAAGTATTTTGCATGTTTATCCTCTTTTATCCTCACAACCACCTGGAGATACAGCACATCGGATGGTCCTCATTTTCCAATAAGAAATTCGAAGCTTAGAGAAGTTAAGGGACTTACCCAAGGACACATACTCTGTTGGCACAGCCCTAGATTAGGATTCAGGTCTGACTTGAGAGCTGCATTGCTACAAATGTACCTTGGGAACCCAGTTTTGGGAGAGTCTCTGAAAAATGAAAATGGATCCAGAAGAGAATTACCAGAATAAAGGGCCCTAGACATGAGGCCTTTTAAGGGCCAGGTGAAAGAACATGGGAGCACGAACCCAAAAGGGCGTGGGGAGGGTAAATGGCAGCGGTCTTCGAATATGGGATTGGCTTGGTGTCTTTCTGAGTAAAACCTGTCAACGAAAATTAGATGAGGAAGACCTTAGTTCTCTCCAAAATGTAAACAAGCTGCTCTGTGAGGACTGAACTCCTGTCCTGATGTGTGCAGATCCTGAGAATGAACCCTGTATTCCAACTCTGGACAGGGCTGGGGGCTAAATTAGTAAACAAACGTGCGCTGGGGTTAGAGTTTTACAGAATGGGAGGTCGGCACGGGCCCGCGGCGGTCCTCCAGAGGCTCAGCCGCTATTTCGGACGCGATCCAGGGTCGGACTCGGCGTGGGCCGCCAGAGCGCCCAGACGAGACTTCGGGAACACAGACGCCCAAGCTGACAGGGTCTGCACCCGACCCGAGAACCGGCGAGCGCGAAGGCAGCCTCCCCAGCCCGAGCCAGAAGCTCGATCGGTCCACACCGCCCTCCCCAGTGCCAGCCCGAGCGCGGTTACCTGCGAAGCAGGCGCCGCTCCGCCGCACCTCTCCGCGCGCCACCGCGGCAGGCGGCCCGCGCCCCGTTCAACGGGCCCGCCCCTCGCCCTTCGCCGCATCCACGGCGCACGCGCAACGACTCGCACCACCGAGCGTCGGAGGACCACGTTGCTAGAGCGGCAGCTTCTGCTGCTCA